AAAATTACTTTGTCTATATTAGTAAAATAATATTTATTATATATATATATATATATATATATGTTATGCGATAAAAAAAAGATGATTAAAAATTCGCATAATTTAATAATAATATTTGTAAAAGTTTACCATTTATTGTAATCATGAATTTAAAACTGTATTTTGTATTATTTTGTATATAAAGCTTATAATTTTTAATCAAGTTATGTATAATTTATATATAAAAATATTAATATTATTGTGTTATATTATTTCCTAAGTTATAAATTTCATTTTGTTGTAACCTAGTTCCTGATGAATTGTGATATTTGTGATTAAATACCATTAAAACTTATAAACTGGAAAAAAATATATTTTATTTATTTATATTAATAAAAAATAATATTTACATAATATATAACTGTTCATAAATGTACACTCAGAATGATTACAAAGTATAAAACTATATTTTAAAAGATTTTATGTAAAAAATTTTTTTACATAATATACATATATTACTTCATTATAAAACAACAAAGTAATTTTGTACTTTTTAAATATATGTTTTTAAACTTCATAGAAGATAGAAGCAAGAGGATATCTTATGAGAAATGCTAATGAACTGCTAATAATCTGAAATATCAATAAATTTTAGCATATGTATTAATATATAAATAATGAATATATAGTAGAGTGCAAATTATTAGATTTCACATTTTTATGTTTTTCATATATAAACATGAAAACATTTGATGTTTTGATCATATCATAAATTATATCATAAATTAGTATTAATTGCACAGTAAATATAAAAATCATTTTTTTGCAATAATTTTATCTTCTAATTATAATTAATTTGTATATTTTTATTTAATATATTATATATTTAAAATATTTAAACATTTAAAAATGTATTGCAAAATGTATTGTATGTATTTGCAAATTTGTTTATCTGCCATTTTTATTATTACAAATTTAATACATATATCATATTAAGATATTTTTAAATTTTTACGGATAATATTGATTTTGTTTTAATAGAAGAAAGATTAATGATTATCAATTTTGTTTTTTATTACATAAAATTTAAATTTGTAGCAAAACAAAAAAAATAATTTTAGTTGCACATCTTAAAAACACAAAATTCACGATCGTAATTTATAAAAAAAACTTTCTTTTACATATTTTTTTATAATTTTTTATTTCTCTTAATAATTTGCACATTTTTACGTATAAATTGTTTATAAATTATTAATTAAATAAATTATTTCTAATTTCTTACCTGAATTAGCAATAAAATCAATGTAAGTGTAGGTTCTTTCATCGGACCAGTTTTTATAAGTACATAATTAATTAATGTAAAATTATTACAAGTAACAATACCTTTATCATCTTCTTGCCATTTTATTATGTTTAATTCCTAAATATCCATGCTATAAATTTACCTATAAGAAAAATTTATTTAATTTCAAATTAAATTGAAAATCGTAAATAATCGGAAAAAATATACATAAATTATGTATTCTCATACCTATAATGCCTATATCTTTTTTATTAAATACTGTAGTACTAATTTCTAATTTATCAGTTTTTTTATTATATCTATAAATAAATTTTGTTATGTAACAAATTTTAAAAATTATTATAGAAGTACATATTTCATTTTTTAAAACTTACTTCGGCAATCTGTGTCTAGGGCATGGTATAAAATGAAATAATTGTGGCACACTATAAAGAAAATTAATTATTTGTGGAATGAAAAAAAGTAAAGTTGTTTTACTGAAATGTCCAATAATACCAACAACAGCAAATGTCATTCCAGATAAATAACAAAAAGTATCACCTACAAATACTTGTGCTGGATACCTTGAACAAAAGAATAAAATTTTTGAAAAATTAATTTCATTATGTGCAAATATTTTTTATATATTATCATTCATTATTAAAACGAAAACATTTTAACAATTGTAAAACAATAATAAATTAAATAATAAATAAAATTAAGGAAATATTCTTAATTATATAGAAAATGGAAATATAAAATAAATAAGTATTAATCCTTCTAATTAATTAAAACGAATTTTTTTTATTATTACAAAAGATAATAATATAAATATAAAGAATTTTATATAATTTTATATAATAATCAAATGTAAATTAGATAGGTTAGATATACAAGCTTTTTTAAATTACTAAAAATGAAATATTTGTAATATTAAATATTTTAATTTAGATTAAAATATAGATAATGATTATCAATTTATAAATTTTATTCTATAATTGAAAAAAAGGAAAAATGAGTACTATTTTAAATAAAACATTCGTAAATTATACAAAAATTCATGGTTAATATATATTTAGTTTAATATTAATTTATGCAGCTAACTTCCATTTATTATTATTATTCGTAACTAAAAAATTTTTCATAATTAATTAATTGCTAATATAAGACGCGTGCGCCTTAAGAGAAATTACAAACGCGCTTGCCAGTGAAATACAGTAAAAGAGATTGCGTAGAAGGAAGCATTTGGACAAATCGGGCGTGGTTTTTCAATTCGTTACACTCTCAGCAGGCGGTCCAAGTATTTTAATGGAACGATGGAATATTTTTGAATAATAAATTAAATTTGTCAAAAGATGAAAATGTGGCGAATAATCTTACAATTAGTAAAATACCAAAAGTTGGCTAAAAAATATTCAAAATTTCATGTTTTAAAAAAGTTGTTAACAAGCGATTGAGGTCATTTAAAATTAAATGGCACGTCGGGGAGCAGTGACATCACGATTTAAACGTCACGACGCGAAGGTATTCATATCATTATTAGCGTCAGACCATATTGTGAGTTTGTATACAAATTATGTACACCTTGTATTCGAAACATCATTGGAAATTATTTACCGATTAATATTCAAAATTTCAACACAAGGTGAAAACTATACTCTATACACAAATCTTCATGTAATAGAAATTTTTCTGACATATATGTTTTTTTATTACTTTTATATTTTAAAAATGATTTTTAACTATTAATTATCACTTACGTTAAGCGTAACTGTAGTAACTTTACTTACTACAAAAATGAAAAAAAAAAGTGAATTATAATTGCTATATAATGTATCATCAGCAAATTCAAACTTCATTTCATAGACATATACATACATATTTATGGATGGGCTCTTTTAGCAACAAAAATGTTATGATTAAAGTAAAATTTTTACAAGGCATAAAATGAAAAATTAATAAATTGAAACAAAAAATAGTGCCATGCAGCCCCGTCTAGATGGGAAACTGGCTTTATTATATACATTATTAGTTCTACAAGTCCTGATTGTTATGATTTATGTTGCTACAACTCCACCTTCTGAATTAACTGTATCCACAACTCATACTTCCGTTACATTTGTGAAATTTGAGGAATCACAAGTAAGATTTAAATTTTATTTAAATTTACTTTTAATCCAATTTTAGCATTTTAATTTTATTCATAATCTTGAATATTTATGTTAAATTCCAGGAACCAAAAATTCAACAAATTAATTATAAAAAGTTTCCCATCTACCAGACAATCAATGAAGAAATAATATTAAATGAAATTAAGACTTTTACTTTGTTCGAAGTATACAATCATACTATTTGTTGGAAATATGGAGTGGATGAATCAAAAATGAGAGGCAATGAAGATCTTCAAAAATGTATTTGTATACATGGGTGGCATGGCTCGGATTGTGGACAGCCAGAAGTTGTTTGGAGAGCAATCATGGCATCAAAGCAAAATATTAAATTAAAGCATCGTAAAATAGCTAGACGTATCATTCATACATTTTTTCTACATGAACATAATTCAGCAATTGCAGAAGTGATAGTAGAAGAACTATATAATGTAGTAGATCTTTTTGTAATCTGTGATTTTAGTAATGCAGAGGATAATTTCCATCATAAACTACTTAAAGGTTTATTACAACAGAAACAGAAAAAAATTTTATATATTAATATATCAACGAAGTTGCATAAACCATCAAGAATATTAGCTAAATATATTTGGGAAAAGCTTAAGACTATAATACGAAATTTAAAAGACGACGATATTTATATAACAACTGAACCAGAACAAATATTAAATTCCAGGGCATTAATGTTCCTCAAGGTATATAATGGATGGCCCCAACCTATTGGTTTTAGATTAAGATGGTCTGTTTATGGATTTTTTTGGCAACATCCTCTTAAAACAATGATAACAGTTGGTGCATGTACAATTGGATTAATGCGTGAAGCTTATCAATCAAATTCTATCATGTTGGAACAACTGGAAGGAGATTTAAGTGAAAGAGATAGTCTAGGTTTAGTGATAGGAGATTTAAATCATTATGGAGGGTGGTACTGTTATTTATGTCAGGCACCCGCAAATATTATAACCAGTTTACATAACAAAGTTAAATCTAAAGAAATTCAAATAGAAAAAACTATTGATGTACCATTCATTGAGGACCTAATAGGAAGTGGATTATGGTTAGATGGGAAAACTAATCTTCTAAGAGTCTCTAAATCTCAGGATCTTTATTTTGCGCCTGAAACAATACTTAATAATACATGGAAGTATGACTGGCTAGTAGAAAATTTTTATGCTAAGTTAGACTATTATTGACATATTAGTCACACCTGACTGTGATATTAACTCATACTCAATACTCAATGTAAACTATAATATTGTACTGAATTTATATACTAAAATAATATGTTGAATTAATTATAAATGTTAAATGATTTATATACATATAACTTATAAAGAAAACATATAATTATTTCTTTCTGATTTATATTCCTTCATATTATTAAAGATTTTATTATTTATATATATTTATTTACTTAATTTATATATAACTTACCAATTAAATTTTAATAATCCCAATGATGTTGCTATATATGGAAGCATGAAATATAATGAAAATTGATGTGCTTTCCAAAGATCTCCTGATAATTCTATTAGATTAAATAGAAGAATACTAATTGAAATTATTAAGCTTTGTCCAACTTCTAAACCATTTATACCAGCTAATATATTTATGGCATTTGTACAAAATACTGCTAGCATCCCCATATATAAATAGTAAAATATGCAGAGATCTACTGAGAAACCAAACCATGGTCTTAAGGGTTTTGGCACAATAATTAATGTAGAATTGAAATTAATATAATACACCATCAAAAGTGGTAATGAAGCAATAGTTGGTAATAATAATTTATGACGCCACCGAAGATCCAAAACATCATCAGCAAAACCCAATAGTAACATACAACAAATTGAAAGTAAACCTGCCAAAAACTCCATAAACTGTAATTGAAATTTGTTACATTATATCCTATTTATTTTTAAAAAATTTATTTAAAAACTATTTATAAAAATTATTTGTTACCTCATTATGAGGAAAATTTATATCATTAAGAATATATTTTGTAAATGGTATAGGAATAAACAAAAAGAGTGTTATAAGAAAAAGACATCCAGTAACAACACCTAAAGCTTCAGGCCTGTAAATGAATTTATACATATAAATTACCTGTACTTACATTAATATCCACTAGAAGAATAGATGATGTATATAAAAATTATTTTTGATAAATTCACTTACACTTTTTCACCACTCTTTTTATTCATATCAATACCGTATAGGTTAGCTTTAATAAACATATTTTTTATTTTTGGGATTAAACGTATAGTTAAAAAATACATGATAATTGACATAAAAAAGTTAATTAAAATTGGAAAAATAAATTTCCAAGTATCTTCATTGTATTTTACATTGAACATTTTTAAAATCTTATAAAAATATTAAACAAGTCGGATTACACATAACAAATGGATGATTGACGTGGTCAATTACAAATATAATCAGTTATATATATCGTTCTTTAATATAGATAGTGTAAATATAATATTATTTCTAAAATGATATATAAAAAAATGATAATTTAATAAATATATATTTTATTTTCAAATATACATTAAACACATTATATTATTTAGAAGGTACTACATAAGTCATGATGGTACACCTACATAAGAAGGAGAAAAAATCGTTACAAAATTTCACTCCGATTTGTAAAATTTTAATAACAACAAAACTAACAAAATATTTTTATTTGTTTTATTTATTATTTCATTTTATAATATTTAATACTTTTATAGTATTTTGTATTAATAATAGTTCTTTTGATTTTTAGATGTTCAAAATTTTTTATGAATTATATACAATTTTAATAATGGTAAAAATTTGGTTTAAAAATGACATTTTAGTCTTATTGAATAAAATTCATATTTTGATAAAAATTTCTTTTAAATGAATATATAAATTCATTATTAAAACAAACATTTTTCTTAGAATACAACTGAGGTAATACAGTGTAACAATTTTAAACATTGTTGATATTTAAATATAATTATTTAATTTATTGTTTTATTTTCGATTTTAATACATAAATTAATTATATTCTCTAATTTTTAATTAAAATTTAATATGCATAAAATTCATAATGATGATTTTAATTATATTTTAATATTGTTTAACCTAAAACTGTCAAATATAAAATATATTTTTCTTCACAATGAAGAGTGAAATGAAAATAACATATTAAATATTATATATTATTAATTAATAATGAAATTAATATGTATATTGTATATATAAATTTTTTATTTTTCAGTGCAAACATTATTTTTTATACAATTAATTATCTAATTTATAGATGGATAGTGAAAAACAAAAAGATGAGATTATTGCATTGGAAAGTATATATAATTCAGAAGAATTTTTATATCACAAGGAAGATGATCATTATCAATGTACTTTTATGATATTTATAAATCTTCCAGCAAATTATCATATTATATACAAAAATTCTACACAAGATGAATCTGAGCAAAAGATTAAAATCTCTTATTTACCACCATTAAGACTTCATGTTTTTTACCAAAAAATTATCCTTCTGAGTTACCACCTAAGTTTACTTTATATTCATCTTGGTTACATCTTTCATTATTAACTATATTATGTAAAAAATTAGATAAATTATGGGAAGAAAACAAAGGACAAGAGATATTATTTACATGGGTAGCTTTTTTACAAGAGACTTTAGAATTCTTAAATATACAAGACAATCTTAATATGAGTTGTGCTTACACACATTATAAAGAAGCTTTAGAAATAGCACACAATATTCACAAAAATAAAATAGATAATGTAGATAAAGAATGTAATGTTGAAGATGCAAAAAATAGAACAATGAAAGAAGTTACTACCAAGTATTTAAATAAAAAAATGATAAGAAAATATTACGATAAAAGAGCTATTTTAGATTTTCCTATTGGAAGAAACCCCATACAAGCATTAATTGATTATAATGAGAAGCGTAATCAAATCGAATTCAAAAAAAATTTCTATACTTGTAAGATTTGTTTTGTGGACAAAATAGGAGAACACTGTACACAATTTTTACCTTGTGGTCATGTATTTTGCAAAGATTGCATAACTGGTTATTTAGAAGTAAGAATTAAGGATGGAAATGTGCAAAATATTTATTGTCCAGAAGAAAAATGTACCTCTGAAGCAACTCCTGCTCTGGTAAATATTTCTATTTGTTTTCTTTTAAAAATAATAATAATTTTCTTAAATAATTCTTAAAAAATATATTTCTTAAAAAATAATAAATTTATTATTTAATATAATCAAAATCTTATTACTTTATTTGTAGATAAAAGACTTAGTAAGTTCAGAATTATTTGCAAAGTATGATTCTATATTATTAAATGCCACATTAGATACTATGGGCGATATAGTATATTGTCCGAGACGTAGTTGTCAATATCCAGTTAGTCGTGAACCAAATGAACAAATGGCAAATTGTCCAATTTGCCAATATGCATTTTGTGTTTATTGTAAAATGGTATATCATGGTATAGAACCATGCAAAGTTTATTCAGGTATATATTTTATAAATTAATTATTAATTTTTAATATTATTAAAATATTATTTGTAATATTTTATTTAATATTTTAAAAAGCTATAAATTAATGTCTTAATTTTGCCTTGTTGCAGCTGAAATACATAAAGTGATAGCTGAATATCAAGAAGTTTCTGATGATAAGAAATTACAAATGGAACAACGTTATGGAAAAAAACAACTTCAAACTTTGGTAGAAAATGCCATGTCTGAAAATTGGATTAAAAGTAATAGTCAGAAATGTCCTAAATGCCAAGCTGCCATTGAGGTATTTAAATTTGTGTGTATATATATATATTTTATTATATATAGATATACATGTAAATATATTTATATAGAATATACTCTTAGTATATGCTCTTTATTACAATTATTTTACAGAAATCAGATGGTTGTAATAAAATGGTGTGTTGGCGATGCAATACATTCTTTTGTTGGTTATGTGGTACTATTCTTGATCGTAAAAAGCCATATAAACATTTTCAAGATATGAATTCTAAGTGCTATAACATGTTATATTATGGAATGTTAATTCAAGATGATGATAATGCAGATATTCATAACTTTCCGCCTTATCCAATTTATGAATTAGAAGATGAAGACTTCTTCGAAGACATTGTAGCATAAAAATAAAATAAAACATTATCACGTTCAAAAGATAATAACCATTACCTGTTACTTTTTTTTTTTTTGGTGAATATATAATTAATTTTGAAGATTCAGGCAGCACATAAAATATGTTAATTAAAACTACGTTTGTTTAATTCCTATTTATAAAAGTATTCATGTACAAAAAAACATATAATAAATGTATATAGCAGAATTGGGCAAAATGTAATCTGATTAATGATTGAAAATTACAATTAATATTAAATCCAATTATTAATAGTGATTGCTGATTATTAAATAATCAATAATCATTGATTAATGAATAAGAAAGGAATAAGAAGTTGTAATCAATGTTCATGATTGCTTTATTAATTAATTATGAAATAATTATATTTTTGATTATAATTTAATCTGTACTTTCGCTGTAATAACAAGACTGTGGATATTTTTTTAAAAATATATATATTTTTTACATAATTTTACATTCTTAAGAAAATCCTTAGAATAAGTTATTTATTTTTAATGTAATTTGCTTTTAATACAAACATTTCAAAAATTTTATCTATATAATTGTGATAATTTGTGTTTTTAATACGTTTATTGTAACATATAAAAATGTGAATATGAAAATAATCTCTCAACAGGAGCCAAAAATGGTAGTAATGTATATAAAATAAAAACTTTTTTTATTGAAAGATATTTATCTAAAATACTTAAATTTCATTATTGTTCATATATTAAATATGATATTTCTAATTCTGTCTTAGAAGAAGAAATAAATTTATAGTTGAAGTGTCATTATTAAAATCGTCTAAGTATCTAATGATAATCATTGAATAATTTAAAAAATACTGATTACAAATTATATAAGATAATCATGATTGCCGATTTATTTCAATGATGATTGACTGATTAATAATTACTACGATTACATTAAATAATCGACTACAAAATCGATCACAAAAAAATTGTCCAATTCTGGTATATAGTATATAATATATTTTTATTGTATTATATACAATAATCATATAAATATCGAATAAATTAGAAATTTCTCATTTTATAAAAATTTTGTATTAAATATAAATATGTATATTATAATATTTTATACTCTTGTGAGTAAAATTATATTCATTATAAATAATATAAATATTAACAAAAAAAATAATTATTAATATAAAAGGTTTAGGTTTTCTGAAAATAAGGACTTATTGTTGCTCATGACAATTTGTCTCTTTATTACCAAAAAAAAAAATAATATATATATATATATATCAAAACAGTCATAATACTCGAATTATTTAGTATTCTTCGGCACCTTCTCCTTCACCTTCAGCGGAATCCATACCGACTTCTTCATAATCTTTTTCAAGAGCCGCAAGATCTTCACGTGCTTCAGAAAATTCACCTTCTTCCATACCTTCACCAACGTACCAATGGACAAATGCACGTTTGGCATACATCAAATCGAACTTATGATCAAGACGAGCCCAAGCTTCCGCAATAGCGGTTGTGTTTGACAACATGCAAACAGCACGTTGTACTTTGGCAAGATCACCACCAGGTACCACAGTTGGAGGCTGATAATTAATACCAACTTTAAATCCAGTTGGGCACCAATCAACAAATTGAATAGTACGTTTTGTTTTTATAGTGGCGATCGCTGCATTTACATCTTTGGGTACAACATCACCTCTATACAACATACAGCAAGCCATGTATTTTCCATGGCGAGGATCACATTTCACCATTTGGTTTGCTGGTTCAAAACATGCATTCGTAATCTCTGATACAGAGAGTTGTTCATGATATGCTTTCTCTGCAGAAATAACAGGTGCATATGTTACCAAGGGGAATGAATTCTAGGATAAGGTACTAAATTTGTTTGGAATTCAGTCAAATCAACGTTCAATGCACCATCAAATCGCAGAGAAGCTGTAATGGAGGATACAATTTGGCCAATTAATCGATTTAAATTAGTATAAGTAGGTCTTTCGATGTCTAAATTACGGCGACAAATATCGTAAATAGCTTCATTATCAACCATAAATGCACAATCGGAATGTTCAAGAGTGGTATGTGTAGTGAGAATTGAATTATATGGTTCAACAACTGCAGTAGAAACTTGTGGAGCAGGATAAATAGCAAATTCCAATTTTGATTTCTTGCCATAGTCTACAGAAAGACGTTCCATCAAAAGAGAAGTGAAACCAGAACCAGTACCACCTCCAAAAGAATGGAAGATAAGGAAACCTTGAAGACCAGTACACTGGTCAGCCAATTTACGTATTCTATCTAATACAAGATCTACAATTTCTTTTCCAATTGTATAATGACCACGGGCATAATTGTTAGCTGCATCTTCTTTACCAGTAATCAATTGCTCTGGATGAAACAGTTGACGATAAGTACCAGTACGTACTTCGTCTAAAAAATTAAAATTGATTTAATGATAGATTTATATAATAAATTTTAAAATATAAATAAAATTTAATAAAATTAAAAGATATTAACCAACTACTGTAGGTTCCAAATCAATGAAAACTGCTCTAGGTACATGTTTTCCTGCACCAGTTTCACTAAAAAACGTATTGAAACTATCATCTCCCCCACCAATAGTTTTGTCAGATGGCATTTGTCCATCAGGTTGGATACCATGTTCCAGACAATATAATTCCCAACACGCATTACCAATCTGGACACCAGCTTGTCCAACATGAACTGAGATACATTCACGCTAAAATAAAAATATAAAATATGTTAATCATAATAAATTTTTAATAAATTTTTCAAATAAAGAAATCAAATATTAAATATTCTATATTTAATAATTTTCATATTTAAAAATATTTAATTGAAAAAATAAATATTTAGTTTTTTAAATGAAAAAAATTTTATAATATTTAAAGTTTAACGAACTCAACTGTTCAAATATTAAAAACGAATTACCATACATTGAGCAATTAAGAAAAAAAAATTAATTAAATTAAAAGAATATTTTAAATAAAATATCAAAATTTAATCAATGTTTAAAATATATTATGCAAAAAAATAATTAAAATAAAAAAAAATTAAAAATATATTATTTTAGTACAAAACCGGAAGCCGGCCGGCATTTAACCGTTACAAAATGGCTGTCTTGTTCTTAGTAAGGAAGTATCTTTTAATTTTTTTTTAAATATTTTTTAAAATACCAAAAAAGTAAAACTTACCATTTTGTGATGTAAAGAAAACTTTCAAAATTCTTAAAAAAGAAGTAAAAAAAATGGACGTAGGACGATAGATAGTTGGCTAAAGCAAGTAATGGAGCTTTCGCTAACAACTACGACACCTCCGTCCGAAAATCGTCAAACGAATGCATTGCCGGCCATCACAACGGCCATTTATACCCTCGGTAGGCAACTTCATCAGTGTACACTGATTGGTTGTTGATGGCCTCATTCCTTTTCGTGATTGGTCTTTTTTTGACCGCAGAACTCATGACGACTGAACACAGTCCTTATACGGAAAATATAGTCCCATATTACAACATAATTATTTATTTTATTGATATTAACAACAATATATTTATTATTTTTGTATACTATATTAAAAATAGATAAAATTAATTTTTAATTAAAACACATTTGAGCAAAATTGAAAAATAAGTATGAATTTTACGTAGAAATGAATTTTATGCAGTTGCAATGCATGATTGTTTCTTCCATATTTGGATTATGCATTCTGATTGGTGACTCATATATGTTCCTCTTATAACAAAATATAATTCAATAAAATTTTTATCATATATCAAATTTGAAAGAATATTTGATCAAAGACTTAAAAAAATCATTATTCCGTTTGTTTATCTGTCTTTTTTTTACATATATATGATTTTATATTAAAAAAATATAAAATTAACAGATATATGTAAAATAATTTATAAATTTATTAATTCTTTAATTATTTAGCAATATATATTTTCATTTGATATTTGCCTAATAAAAAATTATTTAATTTTAAATATAAATTGATATGAAATATAAAAATTTCGAATTTGTAAGGTATAAAATAATAAGTATAAACAATAATTTTTTATTAAACTCTATTTACTTATATATTTTTTAAAATTTTTTATATATAAAATTTATAATTATATATATATTCTAATAAGTATCCAATATATCTTTAAATTACATTTAAATATTGTAATTTACAAAAATAAATAAATTTTTAATACAATTTTGATATATTATTATTATTATTAAAAACTATTATTGTAAATAATATAATTTATAAAATTTATATTAAAACATGTTGTATTATTTCATTACTAAAGTGAAATTAAAAAATTTTAATATGACAATGATAATGTAGATATATATTTCACAATATTTGGATTATATTATATATATCCATATTAGGTATTGATCTTGTCTCTGTATACTGGGTGTTCTAAAAATATAATTATAATTTTTTTAAAAAACATTAAAATGATTATACAGTAAAATTTAATAATTATAATTTTTTTTTCATTGTCAAAATATAAAAGATTGCTAAATTAATATATTAAAATATTATAATAAAAAAATCCAAATTGAAAAATAATTTAAAAAAAAATTAAGAAATTTATTTTAATATTACATTCAAAAAAAAAATTATAAATATTTATAAACAATTTTAAAAAAGTATAATTAATTTAGTATTAATTAATTTTTATTTAATCATTTTAATTTAATATTATATATATTTAATATAATATTAATTACAATATCTATAATAATTAATTCTAAATTTTTTCTAAATTCAAAATTATATAAAAATAATCATAAATTTTTGAAAAAAATATTATTTATATATAATTTATATAATTTACGTAAATTAATATATATTTATATATAATATTATAATATATTATAATATATATAAATTAAAAAATATATAATAAATTTAGCAAAAATTATTTACATCATTATTCAATCATTATTAAAAATAAAAAATATTATTTTATTATAAAAAAGATAACATAAAATCAAAAATACAAAGAACTTAAAATTAATTTAAAATCTAACATAAGATTGTCTGTAAGCTTTTGATAGATTGAATATATGATGAATTGTAGTTGATATATTTCCTGTTTACGAGCACAAGCCATATCCATATCCCTTTATTTTTGATTTTGCGATTGTAATTTATTAAATAATGAATTGTTATTATTAAATAATGAATTTTTAACTTTTTTATTTTTTATCTTTTTCAATTTTATAAAATCTTTTAAAATCGATTAAAATGACATAATGTGATTTAAATAGAATCGTAGAAAATAAATAGAAATAAATAGAAATAAATAGAATCAATTATTATTTCTATGTTATAATATAAAAGTTTTTGAAATTTAAATCGATTATAAAATAAATAAAATAAATTATAATATTTTTTCTAATTAAATAATAAATATGTAATTAATAATTTTTAACTTTATTTAAATACATATGCATTTATTATAATATATATTTTTTTTATATAATTTTAAAATTTAGATAAAAATTTACAAAAATTATATTTGTATAGAGTTTTATATAGAATTGTGTTATGTAACTTAAAAATATAATATTAATTACATTTCAGATGATGAATTTATGTATTAAAAAATGTTATATTCATAATAATTATTATTACTATAAATAGTAAATTAATAATTTTCTAGTATATTATATTAATATTGAATTCTCAGATGGCACTTTCATCGCTATTTATGTTACTAAGCAACATTTTTTAAAATAAACATTAAATGAATAAAAGTATATGTATCAATTCTATTAATATTTTTGTGATTAACTTATGTTGCTTTGTTAAATAAATATTATTTTAAATTAATACAATATTAATATGTCTAATGAGGACATTGATTTTATTAAAGGATATTCACAACATATTGAAGATAAAAACAAACAAAATTTAAATCTTTGTTATGCATATCCTATTATAAATGAGAGTTCTAACATCAATATTTTTACTACTGACACTAAAAATCTACGTAAATTATATCAAAAAATCACATTAGTTGAAGATGGATTATATGTTTCTGACACTCCATTCATTTACAGTGATATTAAACTTTCTAATTTGAATCACATAAAAATCTTAGAATATGAGTCAAAACGTAAATTTTCTGGTAAATTAATAGAAATTGTAATTCGTGAAGTAAAAATTAATACTTTGACTGATGACAGTGATTCTGTTAAAATCACATCTGTTTATTTATTATTCAAAAGAAAAATTATTTGCAAAGCAAATAGTCCTTTTAATAGAAAATTACATAAATTATTAATTAAAAATTCTGAATGCAATAATCTTTTTATACAAGTACATATTAAAGGTGGTCAGTCTAGCATATTACCATTACCATTGCCGAAACATAATATTGAAAATTATAAAACAGAAATAGATTTTGCAATAGGTGACAGTTTTGGTAGAATACATGCTGGAACAGTAATATATACAATTACTTTAAGTAATTATGGTGAAAATAAAGAAGAATTATATAAGAGTCATTTTAATAAATTAAGTAATGATCCAAATGATCCACAAAATAATTTATCTTTACTTAAGTTACCAAAAAGTATTCATAAAAAACAAGTAAAGTATTTTTTGCTGGAAGATCCAGCATTAATTTTCAATGCAAATTTGGAAATGATTATTTCTAAAAAAGTTGAAACAGAACAAATAAAGTTACCAGATATAGTCATAATGGAACAACCTATATTTTCTTTATTCAATATATCATTTCGAGATTTATTTCAAGTTAAACGTCCATTAGAATCTTCATCTAATACTTTTAGACATCATACAATAGGAAAAACAGTTTTATCTGTTACTATTTTGCGAGGGATAGAAATACCAATTAGAGAAGAGTCTGCATTAGTTCAACCATTTGTAGAAGTTGAATGGGGTAACATAATACATTCAACTTCTATAGCAGAAGGTTCAGCACCTGTATGGCAACAAACAATGTACTTTGAATTACAATCAAGACAAAATGACGAAAATTGTATAAAATTTCGTTTGTATGATCAACATCCTGGTTGGGGTCAACAATGGTTAGGTGAAGCTAGAATTCCTCTTGAATACCATAGAAATTATCAAGAGCTTGAACGATGGATTACATTATCTCCTTTATTTAGTCCAAGTTTATTATTTGGATATATACAGGCTAGTCCTGGCCAATCATGTACGCGAATTTATGTTTTGATTAAAATAGAACGTTCAAGTACTCCTAAATCAGTTGACAATATTACTATAAATACATTATTAAAAGGAATTCAACGATGTCTTATTACATCATATAAAATCAATGGTATAGAAACTCCAAAAGATGCTGCAAGATTAACAATGCTTTTACCATCATTACCTAATTATTATGGACCAATTACTCCACGTCAAATATTGAATATTAAAAAAGTGGATCATTATGGAAGAGCAGCTTTACTTGCAGTATTATTACAAGGTTTTAATCTACAAACATATGTTTTATTAGGTATGAAATAACTTTAAAATATATGTATATTTAACATAAAAAATGAATTAAATTTTTTTATGAGATTTTACTAATATCTTAGGCTCTTCTCAAATAAGTAAATGGACGTCATTTGTTTTAAGCATTAGCGAAAATGGAACATATACATTATGGGATCCTGAAGTTGGAAATTATTATAAGTTAAATGATAGCCATTGTCCTTTAATGAAAGTATCTCATTTGATTAATCATTTTGGTGTTAGTAAACAATTGTTATTATATTAATTTAAAATAACATATACTTTTTTTACTAAAATTTTTTTACTAATATTTTTAGATATGGGAAAATTTGCAGAAATCTGCTTTACCTCACAATCTTAAATATGATGTAAAATTAAATAAAGAATGGCGATGTATTGAAACTACTACTTTAAAAAAAAGTGATCATATTATTCAAATATTAGATTTAAATATAACAGAAGAAGAACAAAAGCAAATGAAAAAAACCGCTATAGATATAGAACAATCTTTAAAAGATAAATTAGCTTATTGGAGAAGTATACTTGGTTTACCAACACTCTTTAATCGACATGCAACAACTATTTTAAGAAATTTTATTCTAAGATGGAACAATCCTTAGAAATACAATTAGATAAGAAAAATTTGAAACAATTATATAGATCTTATCATGTTCATGGTTTCATTTTAAATAAACGTGAATGTCATATTGAAGATTTGAGTGAACATTTACATGCAACAAAGATTTATGATATTAATGAGTCAGTTGAATTTGTTGTGATATGCCAAATACAACCTTATATTGGCAAAATTTCTTCAATTTGGTTGGCTGTTATAATTCTTAAAAGTCGTGATTAGTTTATATATTAATGTTTAATAATATTTATTGATTATATTTTATTTATTAGATACTTATATATTGTATATATACTAATATATTATATATTATAATTAATATTACAATACATACAATATATACAATTTACAAAATAGAAAAAAAGCATCTCTTTTTATCATATTTATTTTAATATTTACTTAATTATAAATATTAGTTTTAATATAAATTATTAAATAAATATTTTTTATTAAAATTAAAAGATATATAAGAAAAATAAGAATGATTTTTTTTTTTAAAAAAAGATATATATATCTGCAATTTTTTATCATCAATTCTTAGATACAAAATTTAATAAAATTGTAATAAAAAAATATAAATTTTTATTGAATAAATTAATGAGTTATTCATTATATAAACCAAAGATTTATATAATGAATCATATAATATATAATATATAATAAGTGTATATGAGATTAAAAGTCCATAATAAAATTCTATATAAGAATTATAAATTATAATTATATTGTCTTTAATTAGATATATATTTGTCAAAAACATAAATTTTTGTAATTCTAATTTTTATAAATTCAACATATTTTATAAAATAATATAAAATATATAATATTTTAATTTTATAAAATTAATTATAGCACAATAGTCCCTAGATGAATACAAATGTAAATTTTTAAAATTTTAAAAAATAAGGAAAAAGAGAAATGATTTGTAGACATTCATTCATCAACATTCATTCATTCATCAAAGTTTGAATTTTTATATTTTCATCAATTAGATTTTCATGAAATTATTGATAATAGATTGTTTAAATATTTACAACAAAAATGAATGTAAATATGTTTTGTTATAAACTAAATTTAATTATATGTATATTTAAAGTAATATATATTTTTATTTTACTCTTTTTTGTATCTATAATAATAGTAATAATTGAAAGCATTCATTTTTATTAGGAAATTTTTGGTAAATCAAAAATATAAAAATTTAAATTTTTGTTAATGAATTTCTAAAATTTACTTTTTTGATTTATAAAAATTTCTGTTAGTTTTATGTATGTATATTATTGCTATACAGTATATTACAAAAAAAAAAAATTGAGTTTAAAAATTTTATGAAAGAAATAAATATTCTTACAATATAGTAAGAATATTATAATATTATAATTAGTCTGGTTTTAATACATTATAATGACAATATAACATATACAATTTATAATTTGTTTATCTAATTTTATTACCTGCTTGTATGATTTCAATATTATTGGAAAGGTATGACAAACTATTGAAAATAAACATAATGCATTTGTTGATTTATTGCATTGCGCAGCAATGCGCTTTTTATAACAATTGCAATGTTCTTTTACATATTTCGCTAGTAATAAAACATAATAACAATATTTTAATGTTTAATAATTATAAAAGTAGTTTAAATAAACAAACATGTGTAAAAAATTCCAATTAATTGTTATAAATGATTATCATATATTTTGTGTATTTTCTTATACTTCAAAAATGAATTTAAAAATTTCGTGATGATATTTTGTTTTTATGGACGATTTTCATTTGTGCGATAATATCTATATTTTTTCAAATTTCCAGAAAATTCTGTATAAAAAGTCTTATTATTTTGATACTTTTAGTTGGAATGTGTAAAATTTTCTACACATATAATAATACATTACGCGCACATAATATTTGTAAAGTATTAATTGTAGAAAAATGTTTTATATAAATCTTTACCTAATTTATTAATATCTTACCAATTGACATAGTGAATTAGTTTTTGTTTCACATTATGTCCAAATAAAAATTTGACTATTACTGCTAGTTTGTTACAAACAAATTGATCTTTGATTGTAATATTTTATTATTATTTCACAAAAGCCATATTCATAAAAAATTTCATTAAATAAGAAAAAACCATGTATAAAGAGGGATAACGTTAGATATATAACTATAAAATTCTAACAAAATTTTTTACAATTTTTAATAGTAATTTATATGTTAAAATGTTATTTTCCATTTATTTAGAGAGGCTGTATGCGTAATTCGTATAACATACTCAAGTATCACGATAAAGTATTAACTAGACGTCAAATGTGCAAATGTTAGTACAACCTTTACGTGATCGCCATATTTGAATTCTAACCTTAGATCTATTGCAAGAAAAAACCAAAGGCAGTTTTCGACATGACGATTCATTTCATTCTTTTTTTTTTTTTTTTTACTAATGCAAATTTTAACTACTGGTCACAAAAAGATCGCTTAGTTTAAGCTTATATAACATTACCGTAATCGATCACATTGGATCTTATATAATTCACCTACTGATAACTAAACTGCTAATGAAGTTGACTAATTTATATTTACAATACCTTAGACCAGCAATTCGTCAAAGTTTGTGTTGCTGATCCAAAAATAAAAAAAAATTCCAGGCCGATGTATAATCGCATTTACGTTAATTCGTCAGAGAAATATCGGGTCTTTATATTAAACCCAATTTTTCTATAACGGTATAATGTATTAAGCACCGCGAACAAAACGGCAGTTGCAAGAACTAAAAATTTCGATCAAATAGATTTGGTTTATCGTTATCGATTTTCCAATTTCTATTCACTTTGATTTTATAACTAAATATGTATATCGTAATTCGATCTTTAATATTTTAAAGAAGAACTTTGCATTTTTCACTGAATCTTTTTACATACACCATTTGCATATCCATTAGCGTGTCCATTTGAAATATTTCCATTACACACAGCTCCATCGATAATTTCTTTCTTCGATTGAGTATCTACTTTCATTTTTTCTAATTGTCTCTCCGCATATGCTTGTTTGCCCTAAAACATTGATAATTCAAAAATTTTTTATGAATTTAAAAAAAATTTAACTATTAAATTTATATTTAGACAAAAATTTAAAAAATATTTTGTGAAGATTACTTTAGCAATATAAGCTTTGGCATAAAAGTTTCCAAATAAAACGATAAAAGAGATCATGTAAATGACAAGAGCATATTGCATCCAAAGTGGAAAATCGCATCCTGATCGGATACCATTGATGCCAAGAATTAAGGCAGTGGTAAACTGGATCAATTGAAGGATCGTCAAATATTTTTTCCACCAGAGATATTTAGCTACGGAAGGTCCCAATGCGGCCAAACCATAATATGAATACATAAGGACATGGATAAAACTGTTTACCATTGCTGGAAGGAAAGCTGAAATATAAATATTTTCAATTAAAAATTATATTCATTTAATTCAAAGAATAAAAAAATAGCTTTAAAGAATAAAAATTTACTTATAAATTTAATATATAATTCATTTTTATTCATTTTATCAAATTATAATTCATTTATATCCAATAAACAACAATAATTTTAGCAAAAACAAGTTCCTATGATTTCTAGTCAATGTATACCAAGAGATATAATTTTTTATAATTCGGCAAACTTTCTATGAAATTTTTTATTTATTACATGGAAGCGATTAAAATAAGTACAATTAGAACACATTTATCTATTGTTTAATATCATTCAAATTTAAATTTTATTGTACGTATAATAAATTACATATTAATTATAATAAATATATTAAATATTAATTAGAAAATCAATGTAATTAGAGAAATGTAAGTAACTTATTATTTTTTAATTATGTGAATATATTTTATTCTTTTATTTGAACAGATATTAAAAATAATAAGGAGAAAGTAAGAATCTTTTTACTTTCTTTGTTTATTAACTTTTACTAATCCTCAAAAATAAATGAGTGAACGAAATGTTATTTCACTTTGTTACAAAAAAGCTTTTTATTTTCTGATAACTGAATTTTAAAACTTAATAAAGAATATAAATATAATTTTATATTCTAATATTAATTAAGAAAAAAAAAGAAATTACGAATCAAATAACTTATTCGATAAAGTAATTTGAATAATAAATTAATTGTCAGAATATATAAAATAAATGGTTAATAAATTATTTTTCTTATTTTCAATCTTTAGATTGTTTTTAATTAAAAATAATATATTTTTTTAAATAATAAAATTAAAAAAACTTAAGTCTATATATATATAATTAATTTCTAATTTTTTATCTTTTTGACATTTTTACAAATGATTAGAGAGAGTTTGATATAAATTGCTACTTACTAGATCCGCTTGGTACCCACTTGATACCAATCCACCATAACGAAAACATGGTAGAATGATGATAAACATGAAGGAAGCTTAATTGATTATCTTTTTTCCGTAAAATAAAGAAAAATGTATCACAGAACTCCAAAAGTTTGCTAAAGTAGTACCACCAGACAGCATGAGCAATCTAATAAAGAAAATAAAAAATCGATATTAAGTAAATATATTTTTTTATGTATAAAATTTATTTCAATTAATATTTTTAACATACCTGCAATTCATCTGGGCGAGTTACATGTCTAATTGGTTGACACACATAACTATAACGTAGTCTAGTGGATGCTACGAATAACTGCAAATAATAAATTGATATATTAAATATCGATTGGTATGAAAAATTATAATTTTTATAATAAAAAAAAAATATACTTGTATCGCGATATATGCATTAAGACAGGCCATTGCAAGATTATACGGAACAAGGGCCCATGTTAGCTTGAAGGCTTTCCGATTTCTCATGATCTTTGGCCCAGCCCATACAATGAGTAAATACAACATTGTATATATCAAAGTAGGTTTCGGAGAATCAACCAAAAGCCATCCTCTCGTTCGTTCATCTGTAGATTAGCATCAATTATAAATGTATATATTTTCACTTTACTAAGAATGAATCTTTATAACATAATGACTTTGACACTTATTGACTTTTTAAATGTTATTCTTCAAGTATTTATATTAAAAAAAATTTTCTTGTTATATATATGTATATTATAATTTGAGATAAAGGACTTAATTTTTTATTAGTTCATAATATTATGTTCATTTTTAATATAATAAATATATTACCAGCGAGGGATAACGTCCAAAGATAATAATTGTAGGCATCGTTTATTAAAGTTGTTGTAGAATTAATTAAGTTTGCCATTGCCTACAACAAATATAATAATTACAAACTTTTTATAAAAATTTGTGATATATATATTTTTTATAATTTTTCTATATTTATAAATGTAAATAGAATGGAAATTATTTGGAAGTTAAGTTAATTATAAATGATAATTTCGCAAGATAATTTCTTATAAATAAATTATATATTATTAATAAAAAATACTTAATAAGTATTTTTAATTTTAAAAAAATATTTTTTTTTTTGTATTTACGCAATTTTTCCTTTACTATGCAATATATTTATATTTTATATATTTAGGAAAAGAAAACTAATGTATGTTAAAATAAATATCGATTGTAAAACAATATCATATATGTATATATAGGTTTATATGTTATTATAATTACAATCATATATATAATAACAATCATATTTAATTAACAAGATTTTATGACAATAAGAAAAAAAATTTTTCTGTAAAAATTTTATAAATCTGTAAATTTTATTACTTGAATTTCAAATATTCAAAACATCTGTGTTGTATTTAATTATATCTGTATTATAATTATATCCAAAAAATATCTGTATTATATAATTTTATATATTGTATTATTGAACCTGTACCAAATTATTATATTATATTACAAATAAATACATGCAAAAATAGTTTATAGAAATGAAGTTTATATTTAAATCTTTTTTATAAGTCTTGCGTTTATATCAGAATAAACTAAGTATTTTCAATACATAAAATAGATTTTTTTTTTTTTTTAGAAATTTTTATGTTAAATATATATATCTTAAATATATCAATTTTTATGTGATAATTTTTTAGAATTTTTATTGTCTATGAAATTCGGTTCAACGTTCTAAAATAAACTTAATTATAAAATAAACGAGTATCAAGATATATATATATATATATATATATATTTGCATTTAACATAAACATTTATCTATAATTTTTTTGAAATTACAGTACAATTTTCATCAAATTAATAAAATTAAGAAAACATATTAAATGAATTATTGCAATAAAAATAAAACAAGTTTTTTTTGTATTGATTGGCGCATGCATTCGATTTACCATCATTATTGTACGCTTAATGAACAGCTTCTACGTATATACATTATCTGGTCGTTCACTTAAAGATAGAAACGTCATATGTAGTAACTTTCACGTTATACCGAATAAATCTAACGCTATCTCCCAATAGCGTCTGCGTGAAAACACGTTTCGTTAGATCTTTCAAATAGCTTGGTTTCAAACTGATTCGATGCTCCGATGGCAAAGTAGGAATGTCTACTTTCATTTACGATCTAATGTTGCCGTGAACTTGTAACAAGTGCAAGTGTATGTTCTCCCTCCGCTATAGCTTATTTAGCTTTCATTTTGTTTTAATTAAAGCATCTTATGAGGCGTTGATTCAATCTGTGAAATCTTACGATGCTGTTTCCAGCTATTTCTTGTCGAAAAATGCTCGATTATTTCCAGATTTTTTAATTTTTTTTTTTTTGAGATATATATATATATATTAATTTAAATATTATTGCTATTATTTTTATTTTTAATAAAATTTTATCATTGATCAATGATGGAATTAACTATAATGTATCGATTATCTTTTTATAATTTATTCTATAATATGTTAAGTAGTAATATCAATCGCTTGAAAATTTATTAATTTTTTAATAATATTAACAACCTATTCGGAAATATTTTTTTCTATATCAAATTGAAAACATAAAATAAAATTTTTATATCAAAATATTGGAAATGTAGGTAAACTTCTTCAGGCTCTCTCAGATTTCTCTCCTCATGATTAAACCAGTGGAACAAACTGACGTTTTTATGCTACTTTAGAAATAAATTGCGATTCATATTAATCATTTCTACTACGTATAGTGACAATAGCTGATTCAAATCGTTTATAGCATTCTAACGAATGATCTCTTGTGGAGAAAGTCTTTGATAAATAAATTCGTAATCTTTGGAAGCTGAGTGAAATTACCTATAAACCAGTTTTTTCTTATAACAATGAAACGTGCCGCGTGTATCTCACAGTCAATATACTTTTTCTTATATTTTTCTTTTCTTTTTTTTTTTTCTTTTTTTAATAATAATAATAAATTATTATAGCTTTAAAAAATTATAAAAAAAATATATAAACATTTCTCCTTTGATATCAACTATCAACATATCAACTATGAAGTTATTCAATTGTAAAATTGATTTATGATTATGCTTGCTTTGCATTTGATGTCGCGTTTGCAAAAGAGATATATGTATTATACGTCAACGTATGATATATTCTTGTAATACTTTCTTTTTGCCTTTAACGAATCGCTCTAACGAATTGGATTATGCAATATAATATAATATATTATTAATAATTAATTGCATTTTATCATATGATGAAATATCTTATAATTCGATTTTTATTTTTTACAAATATCAAAAGTTTTGATATTTTATTTCTATTATTATTATTTTCTTTTTATACCAGCGATCAACGTATGAAATAATTAATTTTCGAATGATATTAATCCCAATACCGAACGACAGTAATTTAATAATAAAATACAGAAAACTCTTACCTCGTATAACACTAATCAGAGTTAAGAAGCTAATGACGGTACTCTCGTGTCTCCTTCTCGTCTTCTTCGACACACACCAATGGCGAATCTCAATTAAATATTCAATAAAAATGTCTATGTCGTCGAATATAAAAAAGAAATTGTCACAAAAACGGCCTCTAACGATCTCCCCTTTGATCTTCTCTCTCCTGCACAACGCGATCGCGGCGTTGTCAAAGTGACATGACACGAGTATCGATAATTTCCCTTACGGAACCAGGGATGACACCGAGCCGGGAGGTGTCGCCGAATGATCAATATTCCGATTCTTTTCACGAGAAAAGGATCGTCATACGACGAGTTCGATCGGCAAAGTGGCAGCGTCTCGTAGCCTCTTCGCCGGTCCGCTTTATAACTTTGGTGTCGTCCGTCTGGCGATGCTCCTGCTGGTAGCAGACAAGCTCACGTTCCCGGAGGTGGTACGATTTCATCGGCACGTGAAACGTTAAACGAGGCCAAAACCCCTCCGCTGCTCGAGAGGTTATATCGATCGTGGGGATAGATCGCGTGGAATCGGTCAAACCGATCAAGTCCCATGTCCCACCCCGACATTCGTTGCTTTCCCCTCTGCGGTTATGGAGGATCGGCAAGCTCGGAGTCGAGAAGAGCCCTCTGTCGCCGCTTCTTCCGTTTACCACTACTTTCGTCGGATCGAACAATCGAAGATTTCGAGAGCACTGGCTACACAACGTTATTTTGTGCGTGGCCTCGATTCGACGAGGTGAAGGTTACGATGTGCGGCTGGCTTCTTCTTCTTTTTTTTTCTTTCTTTCTTTCTTTCTTTCTCTCTTTCTTTTTTTCAAACCATTTAAGTTTCGACTTGACAAGTGGAAAAGTTTCTGGACCAAGAGAAAGGGAAAGGACGCAGAAAGATAGGATGAGTAGAAAATGTAAGATCGCGACGTTTAAAATTGTAGGATCCGTTTGTAAAAAATTGCTCTTTTTTTTTGAGAAAGATTGGAATTTGAGGAAGAGCTTGATGATGAAGTACCATAGTTTAATAGTTTACGTGATAATTATACATGTTAGTAGTCTGATTGGATTGGATATATAAGCGAAAAGTGTAGGTAAATAAGGCATGAATTTTAATAAAATAGCGGAAATTAGATATTAATGGCAATTTTTTTCAAAGATTGAAAAGGAAAAGATAATCTTCAAGAAGATAAATAAGATGAATTTCAAATAAGCAATTATTATCTTTAATTAAAATCAAGAGAAGTTTGCTTTTATTCCATTTACTTACCATTATATTTCTTTCTCATAGAATATTTAAATTGTTCGTGAATTTTTATACAGTCGTTAAATACCAATAGAAATATGCACAAAGCTATTTTACGACATTTTTTAAGAAAGGTAGCACAGACAGATGCGAGGATGTAAATATGGATTTAAGAGAAAGCGATACGAGGCATAAAAGTTGTCTTCGGGGCGACAAATTAAAATAGGTCAGTGGTCCTTTAACCGTAAAATACATTTCCAAATATTCGAAATTAATTCGACCCTAGATCTTGATAGTTTGTCATTTAAATCGCTGTGCGTTCATATGTTAATGCGTAAAATATTTCCCGTTGATCATGGCTGAAATTTTTTAATAAATTAAAAGGATAAATAAAATGATTGAAACATGTACGATAATATTGTAAAGATATATTACGCCATTTCATATTGACATATTGAAAGTTAGAAAAATCAATTTTCTAACATGTTAATTTGCTAAATTAATTTATAGACTGATTAGAATAACGAAGAAGAAAAGTTATTGATGAAGCATTCTATCCGATTCACTTCTTTTATAAATTATTATAAATTTATTTTTACATAAGTAAATTTTTATTATTTCTATAAATATCATTTGAGAACCATGAAATGAAACGTAACATTTAATAATAAATTGTACACTCATTTCGAGATAATATTCTTACAATATAAATAACCAATGAGAATTCAATAAGAATCGAATATTATTAGAAATTCAAATAGAAATTCTACACTAGTTTCAAGGTGATTTATGTTAAAATAAATAAATTTCTCCGGAAAGCAAGAAGAAAAGGATAAATTCGAATTTGCTAAACTCGAATCTTGCTTAATTGCACGAAAATTATCACAACACACAAACCTATTTCTTGCGCAGTAAGAATTTGGGATTATAATAATCAAACTGTATTGCAAATCTGATGAATCGTCAATGAATTCGAGTGGAGAAAGAGCATGTGCTTCTTTTAAGAAATCTGTAGACGGAAGTAAGAGAAAACCAGTTTCGATTCATCTCTCGGACATTTAACGGGCAGACTGTTCTGAATGTTTTTCAAGCGTATACTGGCATAATCGATATAGGTATGTAGCGCAATGAAGTTATAAATTAAATTTTTCCAATAAGTAAACTTCGATTATAATTAACGAATAGTCACCGATATGTATATATAGATGCGTGTTATTTTTATTTCCTATATTGTAATGTATATGTAAAAGTTACACGTGCAATTATCCGTACTTTGTATATTCAAATTATAACATATCCCTTAAAACGAGTTAGTAAGATAATAAACGATGACAAATACATATCTAATTTCATTTCAAGAAATCAAAGAACGAATGTAAAATAAATAAATAACTTGAAGAGAGGAAAGCATAATTGAAGATCATTCTATTTCGCGCCACCTGAGATCAAAAGGAATATTGCGTATGTAATTGCGGGTGCTTGCAGTGCTTACAGAATGTATCCATCGTAATTGTTGTTGATTCATTCTTTCTTTCGTTGCATTTCGATAAAACTCGAAGACGGAGGAAGTAAGGAAGAAAAAGATACAGGAATCTGACTGCAGAAGGAGAAAGCGCAACCGGTTACTTTCGTCGGCGTATATACTTGTTCCATAGTTCAACCTATGGTTTTTTTTTCTTCGCACTTCTTTTTTCCCATTCGCCTTATAGTATATCTCGGTCAAGGAAATGCTCGTTGACGGAAGTTCCGTTGCTTTTTTCTTATTTTCATTGATTTTTTTTTCTTTTTCATTGCTAAATACGATAAGAAAAAAATCAGTGATTTTTTTGATACGAGAATGTATTGCATTTTAAATTTTTAAAAATAATGAATGTTACACACACACACACATATATATATATATATATAAAATTATTATTATTACTTTTATTTATATCGCTTCCAACTTAATGAGAACAGATAGAAATTTGTAAGAAGATCGAGAATAAAATGAGATCAATAGAACCCAAGTTGCCCAGAGCAAACTTTCATCCGAATTAATCTTTCCTTCTATATATTTCTATATGTGTATATATACATGTATTGTATAGTTTATGGTGAAGTTAGTATCGTTATTATTGACAGTATAACAGATTATCACACTATGTAATAATTATCGTGCATGTGCAAAAATTAACTATACGAATGTATATTTATTAGAATAATATCACATGTATTTATCAATGTTTGCTAATGTTGCAAATTGAAGAATTTTTAATTTAATAAGAATAATTTCTCTAAATATTTCTCTTTATTTAATATTCCTCTTATTTCTCTAAATTTTAAAAATGCATTTGAATTAAAAAATAAAAAATTATTTTTCTTAAAAAAATGTACCTTTCTTTAATCATTTCGAATATTTTTTGAATAATTTTTTAAATATTCTTTGCATTTCAAAAATTAACAGTCAAATGTAAGAAAAATCTTGAAAATATAATTTCATTAAAAACATTTCGTTAATCGGAAATTTTTATTCTTTGAAAACAATTCTCCTCGTTATTAAGAACAGTGAAAGTAATAATTTTAAGTAAATTAAAACCAATTAATATTCTGCATACAATTGATTGATTTCATTATAATTATAAAAATTATAAAAATATAACGACAATAATATATCATAATTATAATAATATAGAAAAAATTTTTATAAAATAAAGAATTAAAAAGAATTTTTGTTTCTTTCATAATTATTTCCTATGCACTTTTTTTGGCACTACGTATTTGTAATATCGTAAATCTTATTGCAATAGAGAAAGTTACGAGCTATCGTCATAGTTCATTTTATGCATATTTTACTGCAACAAAAATATAATGTTTTGTTCAATTACATACCATACTAGATGAATCTTTTCCTTGTGTTAACAATTTTGTTAACAATTTAAATGTGTATCATATATTTTAAAAAATATACATATATATATATAAATATAATAATAATTGAAAAATTTTGTTAAGATTGTATAATTTGAATATGAACATTTTTTTTCTATAAAACTTGAAAGTTTAATGTAGAAAGTTTAATATATAATATAAAATATAGAAAGTTATAAGTTTTGCTTTAATTTTAGATTGCAATCGAGCAATTTTATAATTAATTAAGACAAATTATCGTATTAAAATGACTGTTTGTTGAAATTGACTGATACTGATGCAATATTACGCGAATTGCATATGCTTGCATTTTTATGACCTGTAAAATTTGCAATTTAAGCGTCATACTTGTCGTTAAAGTTGCAATTTCGATGAAACAATTTATGTGATTTCAAAATTCACACATGTTTTTTTTATATTTAAATGGACAATTTCTTAATATAAGACTTTGTCTTAATGAAAGTTAAGAAATTTTTACATAATCAATAAATTTTTTTCATTAATGGAGCAAAATTAAACTCAACTATCTATCTATCTATCTATCTATGTATAGATAATATGTATATCTGTTTATAAATCAATAATTAAATGAATTTTTGCTTCGTTGTACATAGTACGATCCATTTTTTTAAGACTAATATTTTATTAAAAAAAAGTATGTCATCATTTCACAAATCCATTTTTTTTTTTAAATATGAATTGAGAACACATAACTTTGAAAAGTGTTACAACTATGTACTATGAAGTATGTGCTTATTCTGCACAACAGGATCAAATGGATACGAATCCTAGTCAAGCGTCATAATGTCTATAGATATCTATTACTGTCAAGTCAGATAAATTGCATACTTCTCTACAGATTCTCGATGTTAAAATTATAAACAAGAAAGATGCAGAAAGATACTAGAATAAATTTTGCAAATCTTTTAATATATTTAATTATATTCATGCACAAGTATTTTAAATTTAAAAATTTTGTAATCAAAATATTGTAATAGATAAAATGTCGATTAAAATGTCACTTGATATTTTTACGTTGAAGCTAATTCACAACGTTAAGTTTCTGAGTGAGATACGAGGTGTTAAAGTAAGTTATGAGGCCAAACTATACTACCATCTTATATTTGTAGCTGCAGACTATAGAAGACTATAGAATCATTCATGATTTCTAACCTCTTGTCTGCATTCCACATTTCATCTATAGGTTCGACAACGACATTTGACCTTACTTGAATATAACTTTCCATATTTTACCTGTAGCATTTTATGTAAATATAGATTTGTTCACAGTATCTATTTTTTATAAGAACTAATAAAAAAATCAGATTCATCGGCTTATATTAGCTTCATAATTATTTGGTTCTGGCTGATAACACATTTACTTATATCACTATACTATTAATACGAAGAATAGGTAAATATTAAGTCTCTATGGCATATAAACTTTATCCTCGATTAAAAAAATTTTTTTCATTTTAGATATACACTTTTACGTTTTGTCACGGTTTAATGACAATTATAAATTCATCAA